CACTAGGAAGATTGGAAAACCGTACTGCTGCAATTTGAACACCAGTTCATCATGCCAGACATTGTCGAACGCTTTTTCGCCATGGCAGATGTTTTCGACACAAACTTGTTCCGTCTGAGAATGTTTGTTACTTGAGTCAGCTGGTGGACGGTCGAACGACCTTTCCGAAAACCAAACTGTTCCTCGAGTAACAAGTTGTTTTCATCGGCAGATGTTAGGAGCCAGTGGTACAGTGCTCTTTCGAACAGTTTTGATAACCCTGAGAGAAGGCTGATTGGTTGATAACTTGAAGGAGAGGACGGATCCTTCCCAGGTTTCCGGATGGGTATGACTTTAGCTGACTTCCAGCACGAGAGGAAGTAGCCAAGTCTAAGGCAGTTCAGTCCGAGATTATGAGAGCTGACGAAGTGTTGGCCTATAGCATCAGCCATCTCTTCAGGGGTTATCAGATGGGCGATTGAATCATTAGGTTGATTCAATGGCACAAGTGGTGGAATGGGCCTCGGCTTATTTTAAAGGATTTTTGTTAGTTACCTCGTAAAGGCTTGGCACAATCTGGGAGTGAACGCAACCTGCCACTAAAGTCCTCATTCTCATGCTGACTTGAATGATTTGTGTTGGGTGATTGCAATGGGTCTTCAAGGTGGTCTGTCCAGTACGTTGGTACTGCTTACGTATGGCGTTTCGGAGTCGTCACACTTAATCTAGCTCGGTAAAATCTCCAACAGCCGATTACCTCGGCATTTTCTTTAGTTGATATATCTGCAAAATATCTGTTTGTTGGCTGATATCTTAGCAAAATGATATTTGTTAGCTGAGTCTCTGAGTCAATTGTTTACTGAATCTCAACAAAATAAATTGCATAACTACTCGGCTGTTGGAATCTCGGTGAAAAAAAATTAAGTGTGTTATAATGTATTTAGTGGGTCTATCAAGGTTCAGAGTATTGCTCACCTGTCTGGAAACTGGCACGTGTTGTTTCCTGGCTCGGGATATCGCCTCCTCTATGGAACTCAGGCACCGGTCAACGTCTTCGGGGGTGTCCGGATGTTCCTCGTAGTCGACAGCAGTGTCAACGCAGCGTTGGAACTGGTCCCAGCTAACGCGATGGTAGTTGCGCCGGGATGCTTGTGACCTGTTAGCAGAGAAGCCTACTTCGGCCACCACCTCGGATAGTGGTCCGAGCTCAGCTCCTGGTAGGCCACAGGTTGACCCCCTCGAGAATTTTTTGAAGATTTATATAATTTAAATTATCGGTATTAGAATCTAAAAAAAACGAAATCTAGAGGGAGCCTGGATCATTTGTTCCAAGGCACCCCCATTAGCTATGTCGATGCATTTAGGATATATATATATATGGAACTTTTAATATTTACTATAATTTCACAGGTTTGCTGCGCTGTAACTTAAGACAAACGGCATCTCCATAGAAATCGGGTGACTTAAGCGACATCGAAAAATATTTTGATCGGAAGCAATTTGACTGGTAAATAAACTTAAAAATGGAATGTGATCCTATATTCAGACAGTATATCCGGAGAACTTTGAGATTTGGGCGTAATTGCTTCTGTGAACAAACATGTCAATCGCTGATTTCTCACCAATAAAAGAACAATCTTGTGAACAAACTATACCAAATGATAGAGGAATAATTTATTTACCTGTTTGTATTGTTAGCTTTTAAATTGACCTTTAATTCGCGAGAAATCGTCAAATGAAGTGTTTGTTTACAAAAGTGTAATAGCAGGATATAGTGTAATAGCAGAAGCATCAATTGACATCAATTGATAGCTCGACTTTGTTTACCTTTGCTACTTTCGACGTAATGAAAATTTGCTCTTGAATATGATAAAAAACACGGACGACTAAAGGCTGTTCCATTTAGAATTTGGTCGCACAAAAAGGGTCTCCAAGAGGGAGGAAATAACATGTCTTGCACACAGGGCTGGCAAATGCCATTTTCAATTAAAGGTCTCACGCGATATTTACAGAGATGCTTCTGTCACTATCATCGGATGAGAAAACGATGACAGACAGAACGTGACAGTGTTGTGATCATCGTGATTACTAGCTCATTTATTGCTATTACAGTAACTTGTACCGAGGAGATCTTAAAAATATATTCAATCTACCATTACATACGGTTGCTTGCTTAAATGCATCTATTGGTCCCAAGCAAATCAATAACGTACCCCATTCTATTCGAAATTCGAGTACTACGCTATGTTTGTTTTGATTCGCTATGAAAGTTTGATATATAAAATGAGGGGTTCGTGGATTTTCCTATACTTCGAGAAGTGCATTGATTAGCTTTAGACCGAAGATAGTACCAGAGCTGAGGCAAAAAGTTGAGCACGTTTCTTCGGGACCTTCTGGTCTTAGATCTAACTCTATGGTAGTACGTAGTACCATAGCTCTCTCAGATGGTGTTTTGATTGTTTTGCCACATTTCTTCAATTTACGCTTGATAATTTCCCAAAATTTGTCGATGGGACGATAATCTGGACAATTTGGTGGATTGATGCTTTTATCAATAAAATCGATATTATTCTGCTAATCCCTCCTGTAATGGCAGCTGGCTGAGTCGGGCCAGATCTTTACGGGACCTTCGTGTGACTGGCAATGAATGGAAAAATTATTTTCTAGAGGCATTTCTCCTTGCAAAGTTGTCCATTCATATAGTCGCTCCAGTGATAAAAACCTTTGTTTTCTTTCGACAACTACAGATGCCTTGCCAAATCATTACTGGATCAACAATAGCAAAGGGCCCATCAGCATTTGTAAACAAACTGTTCCAAAGCCCTTTACTCACAAAGCGAAGACCACCCACGCAAACCAACACCATCATCTGATAGGGGAAACTTCTACCTACACGATGATGGTGTTGGTTTGTGTGGGCGGCCTTCGGTAAGGAATGGGCTTTGGAAAGGTTTGCTAACAAATGCTGATGGGCCCTTTTCTATTGTTGATCCAGATTAATTTGAGAGCGAATTTATCTGCAAAGACAAATTTGAACTTACCCGCAGCATCGCTCTTGTTTGGCAAGGTACAATTTTTGACAAGGAATTTGTCCAAAGTTATCAACGTGAATGTGCAGATCTTCGATAACTTTTAATCGTGTGCATGAATCGTGATGACATTTTCTCCACTAAATAACAAATCCCTCCAGATCAAAACGCTGTCAACAGTTTCTTGCTATGACAACTAGAGAAGCTACAGTAATTCCAAAGAAGAGTCCAAATACTAACTGGAACAGACTTTAACATTGCGTAAAAACAAAAGTTCAGTGCCAACATTTCAAAGGGGCGTACTTGCATTTGTAAACAATGGTTTTAGCCGTCGATTTCTCGCAAATAAAAGCTCACTCATGAAAATTAATTACACCAACAGGTAGGTGAATGCTTCTTCTACCAGCTAGCATTGTTAATTTAGAGGAGTGAGCTTTTATTTGCGAGAAATCGATGGCTAAAGCCATTGTTTAAAAAAGCAATTACGCCCCTTTGAAATGTTGGCACTGAGTTCAAAAAGAGAGCTGACAAAGTATTGGGAAAGTATTGTAAATTATTAAACGCATGGTAGCCCACAGGGGAAGTTATAAATCCTTATATGTACCATTGATAACATTACTGCTGTACACCTCTAATCTAGTATGTTAATAGAATGAGGTGCTAGATTAAAGTAAAAACAGTCAAAAGCATTGATATCGATGCGTAAGCGTAGCACTGATCGATTGGTGATAAAGTTATTGAAATTGGTTCAGGGGCAGCTGAGTTATTAACGTTCAAAATCTTTCATAATTTGTTACATGTTCCATTTTCAGTTTTCACAAAGTGTACCCCCATATTGAAATCAAAGACGTAGTCCTACGTCAAAAGTCGTTTGTAAAATCATATCTCTCGGTGGTATAAGCTAGCAAGTGGCCGTCAAAAATTGTCTCAAATTTCACATAAGCGCAGACAAATTTGTAAAATTTGATACGTAATTGTATAAAGTCAAAACAACAGGAAAATGTACGTTTCTATCCCCAATTATGATGAAAAACTGTTTATTTTCCCGTATGGAATATTATTTCAATTTAACGTCTTAACTTTCAGATCATCAAAAGAGATGATCCCATGGGGAGAATGATCCTAAACGTTCTAAGCCTAAGCCTCAAGAATGGCAAATTTAAAATATGTCATCCCAAAAGCCCAAAATGTATAATTGAAGCATTTTGATTTTTCAAGCTTTTCGTTCCACATAACAATATTAAAAAATAAGTGTTTCTTAATAAGCTTTGGGTTGGGTCGTTTGCAGCTTCATGCAAAAGTTTGCATTGCTTACAAATGATGAAATCAAAATTCAATGCTGATGCTCTGCTACCAAGTATTTTTGAACTTTGGAGCGGTTATTTATTATGTTAGAAGAACTGAAATTTTTAAAATATTGAATCCTGTGGAAATCGTTGAATATTTTCACTTAACATTACTTACAATATTCAATACCAAGTTTAGACCAAGTAGACGATTGATCCATCACATCAATCGTCTAGTTTGTAATTCGATTTACACTGGACCCCTGACCAGATTGCTAATAGAAATGGATTCATTAAGGTCGATTAACTTTTGATCTTTCCGAACATAAAACAATATTTTAAATCTGTATTGTTTCAATAAGTGAAATTGATTGTTTTTCATCAGATGCTTGCCAGTTGAGACGTACATCGCACAAAGGATGGCGTTTCTATACTGTTTACAACGACGATAAGGTAGAGCAATAATAGTTGGCGGAAACTTTTGTTCATAAACTAGCTTTTTGTGATAATTTTGAAATATGTTGACGATAGCAACAAGGTGAAAATGACATTTTAAAAATGCACTTCCGAGGGAATCATAAATATTTACCAGAAGCCAACAGTTTTAATTTCCACAAACATCCCGAACACAGACATCGCAGTCGTATCCCAGTCAGTTTTCAGTTTTGTGATTATTCTACACATCTATCTACATTCGTGACGAGTGAAACTACAATCTCAGTAAATCAAGATGACTGAAACCGAAGTTGCTGCCACGGCTCCAGCTGCTGCCTCACCTGCCAAGACCCCGAAGAAGGCCAAGGCAACCAAGGGAGACGCCAAGAAGCCGAAGAAGCCAGCCACTCACCCACCAGTTAACGAGATGGTCTTAGCCGCTGTCAAGACGCTGAAGGAACGCAAGGGATCATCTCTGCAGGCCATCAAGAAGTATATCGCTGCCAACTACAAGTGCGACGTCGCCAAACTGTCCACCTTCATCAGAAAGTCTCTGAAGACCGGCGTTGAGAAGGGTACCCTAATCCAAACCAAGGGAACCGGTGCCTCTGGATCGTTCAAGCTCAAGGCTGACGAGAAGAAACCAAAGAAGGCCGCTGGAGAGAAGAAGGCAAAGAAGCCTGCTGGAGATAAGAAGAAGGTCGCCAAAAAGCCCGCTACCAAAAAAGCTGCTGGCGAGAAAAAGGCTAAAAAGCCAGCTGCCAAGAAGCCCGCCGGTGAGAAGAAAGTCAAAGCTGCCGGTGCCAAGGCTGCCAAGAAGGCCGGCACTGTGAAGAAGGCCGCTGCTCCCAAGCAGAAGGCCACCAAGCCCTCGAAGGTCGCTCCCAAGAAGCCGAAGACCCCGAAACCGAAGAAGGCCGCCCCAGCCAAGAAAGCTGCTCCGAAGAAAGCAGTCGCCAAGAAGTAAACTTGGACACGACGCAAAGCAGAAAACAATCACCCAAATCAGTCCTTTTCAGGACTACAATATTGATTTCACTCAAGAGTTTTGTAAATTGGAATGATCTCAGGCGTTAATTGAAACCAAAAAGATGACCAATCAATCGGATTTCATCGTATGGCGCCCATTTCCGTTGCATGTGCTCCAACGCTTTCGCTAAAACATCTTTGCTCACGAGATAAATTACGATTGATGTTGATTGAAACCTGTAAAATGAGCGATTTTAGGTGGTTATGACGAAGCGATGAGGCCACCCTTAGCTCAGTCGGTAAAGGCGCAGGTACAAAGCAAAACCATGCTGTAGGTGGCAGGGTTCGATTACTGGTCCGGTCTAGGAACTTTTCGAGTTGGAAAATTTCTCGACTTCCCTGGGCATAAGAGTATGGTTGTACTGCCACATTTCCAGCACCAGTAACTGGTCGTCACTTTTCAAATAGACCAATTTAACAGATCCACCATTTTGAGAAAATCGAAGTTGAAGTTCTACAGATTATTATTTTAACTGATTAGAAACAATACATTTTACAATACTATTTTTAATGTGGTCAGTGAATAATAACGTTGAAAATCTAGTAGAAACAGTAAAATCACAATTTTACTTTGAGTTTCATGCTGCAATATAAAAAAAAAACCACATAGGACGTTTTGACTAGCCAAGTTGTACATCGAACATGTTACATTGCACGATTTTTCTCAATGACATAATCAATGAGTGTTACATTGGACGTTTTTTTTTCTACTTGATACTAGATTCCCTTTCACAGACTTCAGAGTAGAGTACCTAACTTTAGATTGGCCCCGCCTTCAGAAAATGAGCACCAATCATGTTAGGCAGTCAGAATGACCGAAGTAACAATCATGTACCCATCATTTCAAACTGTACATTGGACAATTTTTTACCTATGATTTTCTTAAATAAATGAAAGTAAATTTGGTTGGGTGTTTTTGAATCACATACAATGATAGAAGAGCAATAGTTTGTATCGCTTAACTCGATTTGTTTACTTTTGAAAAGTGACGCGAGAGTTGACCGATTCTGAATCTGTTCAATAATGTTCTATGGGCGAGGCATATCTCCGGAAATAATTGACCTATTCTTAATTTGTTCAACAGTATGTGATCATAATACCTTTTATTTGCTGGTTGTTTCGTTGATTTCGGTTATGGGGTTACCGAGAAACACCACTTAGTTCCCGAATTCCGCGATTTTCAGGTCTTGATCCATCCATATCTTCGGAACCAGTTAATCCAGAGTTTGTGTGACCCACGGAATGCTCTCAGACTGTGGAATATATGTCCACAGGCTGATCAAACATTTCAAAGATTAACATCAAGCTGTCCACAGAATTGTTGATTCTATGAGTTCTTTGATATTCGCCTTATAAGTGGAATCGGAATCGGATTCACTCTGCCAGGGTCTTAGAATTCTTTGAAACCATTATCAGATCGTTATTCCCTTGGATTTTGCTATGCTGGGACTCGTTTCAGGATGCCCTTGAAATTTTTGAACTGCTTTTTGAGGTGGCTTTCGCAGTCTAATAGTAGAAACGGTTGGATTTTTACGTTCCTGACGTTTCGGTCGAATGGTTGCCGCCTTTCTCATCCCAAAAATCAATTTCAATCATCCAGTCGAAAACGCCTTTAGACTCATCAGAACTTCTCTCTATTTTTTCAATATTCCACTCGAATATACCATCAAATTCCGTTATAAATACCGTTAAAATTTTCCCAAAATTCCGATAGAAATATTTTTTTAATTACGTTGAATTCTCCTCAAAACTCCCACGACACTATTATGTTTTTGATCTGCCATGGAAATTAGCTCAAAACTACCACTTTCCTGACGCCTTCAAAAATATAAAATTTTCCCAAGGATTCCTTTGGAATCGAATCAACTTCAGATTCGGATTCCTTTACTTATCACAATTCTCTTAAGATCTATGTAAGAATTTCTTCGAAGTTTTTGTTAGCATTGTATTGGATATTTTTTTTGGAACTATCCTCTGAATTCTCTTTGAGTTCTTCTCAGAAATTCTTTTAAATTTTCCTGGACATTTTCTCACAATCCCCTTGGAATTCTCTTCAGAATTACCATATAATTGCTCTTATAACTACTTTTAAATTATCCAATGAATTTGCCTAAGCCTTTCCACACAACGCCAGTGAATTTCTTTTCAGAAATACTTTCTAGACTCCTTGGAATTCCTAGAAGAATACTTTCCAGAATTACCTTGGAGTTGTCTTTGGAATAACTTTTGAATTATCCCAATAGGCTGTTTCTATGCACCACCAATGTAGAGAGCGCTAGGCGCTTACTAAAGCAAACGTCAACCAAACCGTTTGTTTACATTCAAATTACAATTTTTACATCTCAAATTAACGCATATTGTTATGCGTATCTTATCTTGCATGTTTCCATCAGGAGGAATCTTATTTTATTATTTTTCACATATTCGAACGGATTTACAGCTCAAATAACACCAAATTAAAAATCCGGAAAATCATAACCCCTGGGGTAGTTTTTTTTTAAATCTTCACTTTTCTTAACAAAAATGTGTGGAAGCACTAGCCGGTTCACTCCAAAATCGATACAGAAAACAAAATATTCCATATGGATGTTGATTACAAGCATCTTCGATGGATAAACTAATCAAAAAAGTTAAAAACATTTACCTCTTCCTATGCTTCACGGTGAAAATTACAGCCCTTTTGATGGTTCTCTTATTCACCACCACAGACTGAAACGATCGCTTAATTTCCATTGGGTTCGCCTATTCTCATTGACATTCCTTTGTATTTGTATCCTGTAAGTTTATCCAAGTTCAAGACAGATCCCAAGTTTATTTTCAAGCTCAGATCTAAAAAAATAATTTCTTACTAGGTATGTACAATCTATCACTTTCCAAAATTCGACCTTGTTACCCATTCAGCTCAAAGGCGTCTATAACTCGGAAAACTTCTTAAGTCTTAATGAAACTTTGTAAATCTTTCGAAATCTCGTACTTCAAAATTTTAACTTAATTTAGAGCTCAGAAAACTGTTATAGTTTTATAGCATAAAAGTTGTTCATGATTCAAGAATCAAAACATTTCGTGCAAGATATGAACATTTCTAGATAAACATTTCAAAAGGTCCTATCTGCATTGAACGATTCTCTTCATCGACTTTCTCTTCCATTAATAAGTCAACTTCAAAAGCATTCCCTGCTGTGTTCAACGTTCTAAGCATAAGATAGGAACTTCTGCTATCAAACTGTGTGGCAAAAATAGCACCAAATGAATTTGCGTAGGCGTGGTTATCAAAAGAGAAAAGAGAAAGTCGGTGAAGAGAATCGATCAAAGCAGATAGGACCATTTGAAATGTTCATCGAGATTTCCAGAACAACATGTGAAAAGGGCATACAAGCTTTTTGTAAACAAACCTTCTTATGCCCTTTTCTCGCCACCCATATTACACCAACGCAAACCTTTAACATCACCGGGTAGGGGACACTTTCCCCTTCCCGATGATATTGCTGGTTTGCGTGGGCGACCCGCGGTTGGTGAGAAAAGGGCCTACAAAGGTTTGTTTACAAAAAGCTTGTATGCCCTTTTCACATGTTGTTCTGGATTTATATTGTTATTGATGCAATGAATTTTGGCCGTTTTCGCCACCTCTCCACTACTGCGCTGAGAGTGGCCCAAACTTTACTTAGAAACTAGCAATGTGGCCCTCCATTTGCCTTCATCTGAGCACAACTGAGTTAATCGATTGAACATTCCTCTACCTGATGATGTCGTTACTTTGGATGAGTGAGCTTTTATTCACGAGAAATCAACGACAAAAGCCATTGATTGCAATATCAATTTTGCCCTTTTGAAATGTTGGTACCGAGTTATAGTTATAATAAGCTAGTGGAAAATTCCATACGAATTGCACACAAGTAAATGAAAATGGCCCGCTACACTGATAAATTGAACTATTCCCATTTTGCTTGAAATTTAATCAATTTGACATTAAACTCAGTTTAATCATATCGAATGATTAAAAATTAATCCTCTCTTTCTAAAAAATAAGCATCTGATATTAATCCCAGTTTAATCATGGTTAATTAGATTGTAGATTACCTTTTTTTGAATAAATTTTAATCATTTTAGATTCTATTTTAATAATTTTTGATTGAATTTTTATCTTTTTTGATTATATATCAGTATTGAAAAAGAATAAAATTTAATACTGGAAAGATCATTTCGATTTTAATCATGCATGACTATTGCCGAAGTAATCATGGCTCGGACTCAATAAGGTGAAGCGGGACACTGCATACTTTTTAAGCTTTTATGATTTAATTTATCTTTGAGTGTACTTTTGGGTTCCTGCACTGAGATGCCGAGATGAGTGAAAAGAACTTACTTTTGGGTTCTTCTTTCTTACCGTGCACACGTGATTATACTGAACGTTGGGTTTCCACGCTCCTTCGTTTTTTGACAACATTAGAAGGAGACAAACTAATCAAAAATAGGTATACACGCTAACTTGAAAGTACCCATTAATGGTTGAAAAATACCCATTTTGAAGAAAAGTGGCTTAACTCATTAAATGAGTAAATTTTTTACCCATTAATGAGTATCAGTTACCCATTAATGAGTAATTGTTAATCATTAATGGGTAACAGATACTCATTAATGGGTAAAATTGTTTAATCATTAATGAGTTAAGCCACTTTTCTTCAAAATGGGTCTTTTTTTACTCATTAATGAGTACTTTCAATTTAGCGTGTAAGTGAACTGGCCCACTTATACCTATTTTTGACTAGTTTGTCTCCTTCTAATGTTGTCAAAAACGGAGGAGCGTGGGAACCCAACGTTATAATCATATTTACCTACTGTTGGGTACATCTAACTTACTTTTGGATTGAAAGCTAGTGGAAAATTCCATACGAATTGCACACAAGTAAATGCAAATTACTTTGACCCGCTTTACCTACTTTTGGGTTCCTGCACTGAGATGCCGAGAAGAGTGAAAAGAACTTACTTTTGGGTACTTTACTACAAAAATCAAGCTGAACAATGCGTTATGTCCTAAGTAACATTGACACATTCTCTTCGTCGACTTTCTTTTTGCATCCTCACGGCCATGTTTTAAAAAAATCCCAGCTATTTTAGGCACACAGATCGATGAAAGAAGCTATTATCTACCTTCTAATATGACAAACGCGAAAAGAAATGGTTCTCCACCAAATTTGGGTATAACGCAAGAAAAAGTCGATCAATGTTACTTAGGACCTGACGCATTGTTCAGCTTGAAATTATGACAGTAAACGCCGATAACTTGCTTCCAAGCGAGAGAGCGTATCGTCAGCCATTTGATGAACAGAGAGAGAGAGAGAGTGAGAGAGCAACTCCAGGACACTCATTTTTAAATTAACTGCCAACAAGCCAACAGGCTAACGACGCACGCGCGTACGGAGAAACTGAGTTACCAATCAGTGTAGCCAGGTTTGCGGAAATAATCCAAAAATATGTCGTACGTTTAAGCATAATTTTATCAAGTAGGGTAAATGTCGGCTTCGGCTCTCATTAACGGTTTTCGGCAACAAAATTTTATAGGGGAATTTCAGTGTATTTTCTCACCAAAGGATTCCTCAGCTACGATCTGATAAGGTTTTAAGGTTGTGCAAACGCATTTTTGTATAATTTTTTCTTGAAATGAATGACACGTACTACAAAATGCTGCTAGTTTGGAGTGGCCTAGAACAGCAGATCAAATGGAAAAGTTGCCGACGAAAGAGAGACTGCGTCAATAAGAATTTGTTGTAAAAGTCCAACAAGAGAGCTTAACGACGTGTTCGGGATATCATCCAAATCATTTGTGGGATAGTTTACCCATCCGGAATACAGTTCGTTTATGGTATTTGTTTATTAGGGGTTGTTTTAAAGCAGTTTTGGCCAATTCTATCGATTGGAATGGATAAAGCAACAGGCTGTGAATAACGAAAAACGGCAAAGCAACAATGCTTAGATTTCCGAGAACACGTAAATTCCTCTATTTGAACTGGCAAAGGTTGTAAGAAGAAGTAGTCAGTACATTTCAAGCGATAATATACCATCTAAATTTCAGTCAACAGCTCGGTCAACAGTCATGTAGTCACATGATGCGTATGTGAAAAAATGTGATTATTTTCAGGAGTGACATCATCGGGCTTATCCAACTGAAAATAATAATCGTCCAACATTTTTTTTTCAAGTAGATTTGTAACTAGCTGATGCCCAACAGTTATAAGCCGACAACTCAGCAGTAACAAGAGACTCCTCGAACTGGTTCTCAGCGTCGGTTTACTACCGAGTGATCAAGGGACGCGATATAAAAGTATGAAAACAGGAATATTCACGTTTTCTAACACACCCTTTTCTGTGGCGTGTGGCTTTTTCACAGATATGTGGCGTGTATGCGAGGGTTTAGGAAACTTAGTGCTCACTGCTGCAGCGGGATCTCCTACGGCGTCACGACGCTGGCATTGGACCACACGGCTGCTCCTGCACTACCGTGTGGCCGGAAATTGGCAACGCGGGCTGCAAACAGTGCTGGAATGGGAAAATGGCGGATATCCTCAACCATGAATGGTCCAGTAGGCGTTGCTGACTCATATGGCTGGCAGGCACCTTCCTTCGTTGGCGGAAATCGGCTGACCGTGGCATGGCCACATTGGTCGAGCCGAAAAGGGACCCTCCTTGACGATTAAGGTCAGCGGCCTGAGGGAGCAAACCCAACAATCTGATCTGCAGCTTAAATTGTTAGTTGGGAAGGTTCCTTTGCAATTAGACTAGGAAGTGCGTACAAAAAAATTCTGTTCAACTCTTTCTTGTGAAATGTAGTTTGTGGCCCTGAAAAGGGCCGTTTTGTTGATAGACTTTCATCTTGAGATCACGGATGGATGTTGTATTCCACTATTAAGAGCATTTAAGCCCGTTCACCACGGATACGGCGAGCCAGCTGGATGTCCTTTGGCATAATCGTGACACGCTTGGCGTGGATGGCGCACAGGTTGGTATCTTCGAACAGACCGACCAGATAGGCCTCGCTGGCTTCCTGCAGGGCCATGACGGCCGAGCTCTGGAAGCGCAGATCGGTCTTGAAGTCCTGAGCGATCTCACGCACCAGACGCTGGAAAGGCAACTTGCGGATCAGCAGTTCGGTGGATTTCTGGTAACGGCGGATCTCACGCAGCGCGACGGTTCCTGGTCGGTAACGGTGGGGCTTCTTCACTCCTCCGGTGGCTGGAGCGCTCTTACGAGCAGCCTTGGTGGCCAACTGTTTGCGAGGAGCCTTTCCTCCGGTAGACTTACGAGCGGTCTGCTTGGTACGAGCCATAGCTGATGCTTTTTGTTAGATGAATAACTGAACACGATGAAAAAGAGACTGTAAATGAGGTGTCCACGACGATGAGGGTTGCTTTTATAGTGAACCCCTACCTGTGTATAGCCAATGAAAAGCGAGAAAAAATGGTACCGTTGTTGTTGTTTTTAGTGTTTAATGGGACTTCAACTGTAACGGTCATTCATCCCAGAAAAATAAGCTACCTGCAGAGCTTGTTTGCCTATATAAGAGGCAGCAAACTTGGATTGTGAGCATAAGTTTCGTGTCAACCGTTCAACCTAACAACCAACAATGACTGGTCGAGGCAAAGGAGGAAAAGGTCTAGGTAAAGGTGGCGCCAAGCGTCATCGCAAGGTTCTGCGTGATAACATCCAGGGTATCACCAAGCCCGCCATCCGTCGTTTGGCTCGCCGTGGTGGTGTCAAGCGTATTTCCGGTTTGATCTATGAAGAAACCCGAGGTGTACTGAAGGTGTTTCTAGAAAACGTGATTCGTGATGCCGTCACCTACACTGAACACGCAAAGCGTAAGACCGTCACGGCCATGGATGTCGTCTACGCTCTGAAGCGACAGGGACGCACTCTGTACGGTTTCGGAGGTTAAGTCATTACCACCAACTCTGGCAACAAAACGGCCCTTTTCAGGGCCACCATCCTCATTACAAAAAAGAGTTAGAATAGAGATTGTTTCCTTTTCAGATGGAACGAGTATGTGTTAAAAATATCTGACATAGCATTGTTAGACATTGAGAAAGCGTTTGACATTTTATGGCATGATAGCTTACTGTATAAGTTGCAACGATAAGATTTTCCGATCTTCCTCGTGAAGATTATCCAAAATTATCTTTCGGACATAACGTTCCAGGTCTTCCTAATCCCCGCATGAAAAATAACCACAAGAAGTATCTAACCACCATTTTTGGATATCCTAACACCATCTGCGATATCGTTCAAGGATGGTATCTGTTTATTCGGGATCACATTAGATAATATTTACTAGAAACTTAACAGCATCCAAGATATATAAAAAAAAACTTAACGTACATATCACTATGCATTTTATTACACCCAACCAGGAAATGTAAGATTCTATTACTACACCCACAACATCATCTCAGGGCGATTTTGTACGAAAATATCAATTTTAGAAATGCATGCTTATACAGCCCATTGTAAGAACTTACATTTGTTGCAAGATTTAAGAAGTCCACCATTACAAATGATGTTCTTTCGTGTTTTAAAATAAATCTAACACCTAAGGCTATTCGCTACACGCTATCAAAACTCCTGAACGCTACCATGCGTTGCATGAAGCTGCGTCAATGATTATTTCCCGGCTTTTGACGTTCGATTACGTCATTCGGCAACATAGCAGATGGATTTTAATTCTAAACAAGCTAATTGATTGGAATGTTTTCTACAAATCTGCAGAAATGAACACTTCATCAAGTTTCAATAGCTCACTATTGAACATTCCGAGGGGGACGACTCTATCTACGCTGCAGGAAAGATTGTGTTTTGCTGTAGCTAGCTGCTCACACGCTGAGTAGGTAGAAAGACGATTGATGACGATTCTGAAGATTTCCTGCAAAAAGATGATGCGCGATGCAAGTAGATGCGAAAAATGCAAGAAGATTTTTCGAAGAATGATTCGCTAGTGTGAGATTTTTTGAGCATCGAACATTGAGATTTAGATGTGTCGCCCCCCTCGGAACATTCCACAAATGTCCAACTGTTACAATGGTGATAAAAATTATCACCGATTTCCTGCAAAAAGCGCTTTTTTTTTGCTGATAGGGGTGAGGCATTTCATAGCATAATTCTCCAAGTAGGAGGGACATACCATTTTCACTATTTTTCCACCACAGAAACACCCCTTTTTCTTTTACAAAGAGATGGATTCGCGTGCTGAAAGGAGGCTAATTGGTCTGTACCTTAAAGACAATGTTGGATCCTTACCGGGTTTGAGGATTGGTGTATTTTTTGCTACCTTCCAGACGCTTCGAAAGCAGTGCAGCTCCAAGCATCTGTTGAAGATAGTGGTTAAAAGAAACTGAACTTTTACGCTGAATCTCTTCACGATTAAGGTGAATATGCCGTCAAACCCGGGAGCCTTTATATTCTTTGTGCATTTCAGCGCTGAGTAAATCTGTTGTTCTGTAATCATAGCCGCCGAAGGCACGGCACAAGGGGAGGCATCTAGGTTTTGAATGCAGTCGAATCAAGCAAACGCGAGAAAGATTAGGTTACTTTTTATAGAGACTTTCACCCATTGGCTGGTTCGTCTCTGGGAATCACCGGGAAGGAGGATGAGGCCCCAGAAGAATGTATTATCGGTCAGTTTAGGGTCGGTAATCCGGGTGATGGTTCGGGTTGTCGGTGCATGATGAAGAGGAGAGTATCACCGGTTGCAGGCTGCCGGCAACGAGCACCAAAGTGGTAGTTATCAAACTAGGTGGAAGAGATCTGCCTCTTTAAGAAAACCTAGTAGAGTAGCGGACCGGTATGCATCATTACTGAGCGTGTCTTTTACACTGCTTGGAATCTCGTAAAGTTCTCTTGCAGGAAATGCGATGAAGCGACATGCTCACAAACAGTATTCTCTTTCTCCTGTGTGGTGATTAAGAGCCGTTCGTCACTATATTCTTCTCTATGAGGTGGAACGGGCTTGGAATGATTTACAAGACCTTGTCTACCTTCCAGAACTTTTATTTAGAAGTGAGTCCATTCTGGAAGCAATCTGCCTGTTCAGCTCGGCCATTTCACGTTTTTGTCCAGATCTCCTGTACACTGAAACACATTTTTTGTGTATTCAGTTGTTTTGCTTTACCATAGTTTTACATTGTAAGTGATCAACATTAGTTATTCATTCTTCCCCAAAATTACTGAAAGCCATTGGCTTTTTTTTCCTAATTGGTATTTATCGTTTTACCTCTGAAACAAACTTTACTGAATTTTAATCTTTTTGTTATTTGTACATGATATTTAGTTAAGTGATTTAAGTTTAACTTTTTCAACCTTTAGTTAACATTCATTTTACATCAGTGATGTATGTGTTTGTTTTTCTTTGGGAATAATTGTGTGTTTGGATACTCATGTATCTCTGTGAATTTTCTCTCTCTGAAACAAACGATGGAATATTATTTTTATACAAACAGAATAGCAGCCGAAACTCGTCCCCTTTTCTGTATTCTGCCTTGAAACAATGTTAGTTGTGCCTTCCTTGTATACATAACACGCTATTCAACGCAGGTATAAGTGTACTGTCATGCACCGCCGTGTTTTTTTATATGTGTTCGTAGAATAGCAACGAGTGTTCGTCCCCTTTTATGTATTTTGCTTCCCTACCGCATTCATTGTAACCTCCTTGTATTCATAATACACTGTTCGGTACAGTATAAAAGCAACCTCATGCTCGGCAACAGCATCAGTACACTTTCAGCTTTTAGCTGCTCGTTTAATTCTCAAATCGTAATCTACCCTACTCTATCCAACCATGTCTGGCCGTGGCAAAGGAGGCAAAGTTAAGGGAAAGGCAAAGTCCCGCTCGAGCCGCGCTGGATTGCAGTTCCCAGTTGGTCGTATTCACCGTCTGCTCAGGAAGGGCAACTATGCCGAGCGCGTTGGTGCCGGTGCTCCCGTCTACCTGGCTGCCGTGATGGAATATCTGGCCGCTGAAGTTCTCGAGTTGGCAGGAAACGCCGCCCGTGACAACAAGAAGACCAGAATCATCCCACGTCACCTGCAGTTGGCCATCCGCAACGACGAGGAGTTGAACAAACTGCTGTCTGGAGTGACCATTGCCCAGGGTGGTGTGTTGCCGAACATCCAAGCCGTTCTGCTGCCCAAGAAGACCGAGAAGAAGGCTTAAATTGCAGTCTGAGATTTATTGGCTCTCGACAAAAAAAAAAGAAAAAAAAAACCGTCCTTTTCAGGGCGACCACATTGCTCTACGAAAGAGTTTGAATTATTATAATTTCAAGAGTGATGCACACTTAACATCAATTCTCGCGTCACTTTTCAAATAGACCAATGTAACATATCCACCATTTTGAGAAAATCGAAGTTGAAGTTCGACAGATTATTGTTTTAACTGTTTAAAAGTAATACATTTTGCAATACTATTTTTAATGTAGTCAGTGTATAATAACGTTGAAAATTCAGAAGAAACGGTAAAATCACAATTTTACTTTGAATTTCATGCTACAACATAGAAAAAACCACATAGGACGTTTTGACAAGTCGAGTTGTACATCGGACATGTTACATTGGACGATTTTTCTCAATGACATAATCAATGAGTGTTACATTGGACGTTTTGTCTACATCATACTAGATTCCCTTTCACAGATTTCAAAGTATAGTACCTAACTTTAGATTGGCCCCGCCTTTGGAAAATGAGCACCAATCATGTTAGGCAGTCTGAATGACCAAAGTAACAATCATGGATCCATTATTTCAAACTGTACATTGGACAATTTTTGATCAATGATTATCTTAAATAAATGAAAGTAAATTTGGATGGATGTTTTTGTATCACATACAATGATAGAAGCGCAATAGTTTGTATCGCTTAACTCGTTTTGTTTACATTTGTTACATTGGTCCATTTGAAAAGTGACGCGAGAATTCTCAAGCTTGCACGGCATTGGAAATTTAGCAAAGCAAATATTCAAACAGTGATTCAGCAGTACTGCAATTTCGACTTATTTCGTATTTTTTCCGACATTCGGCAATGCTGGATGTCGAGCGATTTCGTTTTACGCTTGTTTACCGAGATTCGGAATTCTAGCTTTCATCCGCCATTACTTATCATTGCATAAGACAATATTTGCGTGTTTCGTACAGTGGAAGTGCATGTGACTATGGACCGAATTATCGGAATACTTCAGCTGGACGTAGTAAGATTGCACAAAACCTTTCGTGGGTATAATAAAAAAGCTTGTTTATATTTAATTTCAGTCGATTACTTCCACTGAGTACGATCCGTAGATAGGTATGTTTGTTTCCATTGCGTTAATTGTTGCTAAAT